CAAGGCTTATACAAAGGGCTGGAATCGAAACTACTGCAGACCGTACTGACCACTGCGCTCATGTACTTGTGCTACGAGAAGATCTCGGCCACAGTCTTTCAGATCATGAGGGGATCCCAACGTATAAAAAGTCAATAGAGTTTTTACGCCAATTATTATAACCCAATATTTCTTTCACTTATTTTAGATTATGTTTCGTAAAGTTTTTTAATTAATTAATTATTTTTTTAATTATGAAATAAAGAGATGAAAAGGATTTGTTTGTTTGAAATAGTAATGAAAAGTGTGTTTTGGTTTTGAGATTGAATTGAATATAAAAAACAAATTAATTTAAAATTTAGTCGTGTTTTCACTGATGTTCCAGTAATTCACTTTCCGTGTGGCGGCCCTTATGTTGTAGTGATTGCTGTCCTCCGGGCCGCCGGTCGGGTGCGTCGACGGCAAACGGGCCCGACTTCTGACGGCGATCTCGTGGCCTCCAGACGACGGCTTTCGCTTGTGATTGTGTCCGCCGTTCTGGTGATTGACGTCTACCGCGGAACTGATGAACGCCGGGTTCGAGTAAACGGCGTTCTGTTTGGTCGGAATCGGCGACTGATAGTCATTGATCTGTTGGTTCGCGAAACTCACGAAAACCTATTTTATACACGAGAAGAGATTGAGTTAACACAACAAAGCGATCATAACTGGTATGCGATGTGAGCGCAGACCTGATCTAACGTCGTCTGACTGACGGAAAAGTCTTGCAAATTGAGACTTTGTTGAGCTTTTTGGAGATAATCAAAAATACTGGACAATGGGATGTCGTTCGACGGGAGACTGAACTCAAGCATTGTGTGGTGATGTGCCTATAGAAACGGGACACCCATTATGTCAATGAAAGACTTTGTTGAGCTTTTTGGAGATAATCAAAAATACTGGACAATGGGATGTCGTTCGACGGGAGACTGAACTCAAGCATTGTGTGGTGATGTGCCTATAGAAACGGGACACCCATTATGTCAATGAAGCAAATACTTCGGGCCACCAATTGGTGGCCACAAAACGGGACGATTACTTACCCGTAGAACACACGATGGAAAGTATTGGTTCATAAAACTTATGGCATCGTTATGATTGCCCTCTGACTCATGCAATCGCAGTGTAATTAAATACCCGGATCCAAATCTGGTGGCAATGCGTTAGAGTTTTATAAATATTTATCGTAAACTTCATGTAATTTACTGGCATTAATCGGTCGACACTTACTTATGTTTCAAATACTGTGGGCTTCCGATGCATTTGAAGCGGCCGTTGACCATAATGGCCAGTCGGGAGCATAGGATATCGCACTCCTCCATACTATAATCATATCACTCATTAATACACATATGTTATATTGCAATTAATCATTAGTTAACTATAAATTAAAAGTACGAATACCTGTGCGAAGTCAAGAGTATTGACCGCCGGTCGCGAATGGCATTCTGTATATTCTGACAGATGTATCGTCTACTCTGTGGGTCGAGACCACTGGTTGGCTCATCCTTTCGCACAAGAATAAGAAATCAATTAAAGTTTTGTTTCAAGTGTTGAAGAAGTTTGAAAATGCATTACCAACAGAACCAACTGTGGATTGCCTAACATAGCGATGGCCAGACATAGTTTGCGGCGATTGCCGCGACTCAGCGTCAGTACCGTCATCTGCGAGTGTGGCATCAGTTGGAACTTTGCCAACGATTCGTTCACAATCTGGTCATCAAGAGTTTGGCGTTTAATTATTCTCAATCATAATGTGTATGATATGTGGGAACATGTCTTACAGTTGGGATGTGTTGAGTGGGTATTCCCCTGAGATGTGCATAAATAGTCAGGTGTTCGTAAGGCGTGAGCACAAAGTCCAGAGCGTCTCCCTGTGGACAGTAGCCGAGGGACTGATGATCTGACGACAGGATTTGGCGTATATCGCGTCCGTTGATCTCCGCCTGACCGGTGGTCGGCTTTTCTTGACCGGTCAGTATCCGGAATAAAGTGGTCTTTCCGGCGCCGTTCACACCCAACAGACCGAAACACTACAAGAATAATACATTATATGATTGTATTGACCGCAACTGTTGTACTGACCTCTCCTCTCGGCACCGAAAAGCTGACGTTATCGACGGCCACTCGCTTACCAAACATGGATTGAAAAGCTTTGGTGACGCCAACGATCTTCAGTATATCACTGCTGGTGTCGTTGAGGTGCACTTTCTTGCGCTCTTCGGCCACATCCGAGTCCTCGTTGTG